TTTTTTATTTTACCTTTTCTTAAACAGTCCATTAAAATTGATAGTTACACAGTAATCTTCAGGGTTTTTTTTTAAGATTTTATTTATTTATTCATGAGAGACAGAGAGAGAGAGAGAGAGAGAGAGAGAGAGAGAGAGGCAGAGACACAGGCAGAGGGAGAAGCAGACTCCATGCAGGGAGCCTGACATGGGACTCAATCCCAGGGGTCTCCAGGATCACACCCTGGGCTGAAGACGGCGCTAAACCACTGAGCCACCCGGAATGCCTTAATTTTCAGTTTTAATACAGAATGAAGCATGTAAGTATGTCCTACAGAAAGAAATTAACATAGAGATAGTCCCATTTGGGGTCACAATAGTAAATTTACTCTGTAAAATGAAAGCCAAATGACATAGTATGTTAGTATTATTCCATTTAGACATCAGGAGGATTTCTTTTCTTTTGTGGAAGCATACGACATAAGCCATTCCAAAAACAATGTTGCATGATGCTATCTCCCAGGTCATGATGTTTTGTTTTTAGTAATGCTGGAGCTCAGCAGAAAAAGTCTATAATCTTTACAGGCATCTGAGCCAAAGCTAAGAAACAAAACTATTTTTTTTTTGCTATTATATCTTTTTTGAGGTACCAAAATAGTGTTTAGTGTTCCCTTATGGATAATTCCTTTGTTAACTCCTTTACCCTCAGTGATTAGTTTACTTTCTTTCCACTGATTTCAACCCAAACTTCTCCTCCTCACATGTGTACTCAGGTTTAGCCATGGTGTTGATCCATATTGGTAAAAGAAATATGCACCTTGCTAGTGCCTCCCCCTCTCACCATTCTCATTCCTCTGGGATAGGATTAGAAAAATACAGATTTATGGACCATCCACTAGGGAATAAGGCACTTGATATTGTTGAAGCCAGTTTTGGTTTTATACATTGGATTAAGTGCATATACATTTAGTATTTTATGTCTCCTTGAAAAATTTACCTTTTTATCCAGTTTTATTGTGATATAATTGACATACAGCACTGTTTAAATTTAAGGAATATGTAGCATAATGATTTGATTTGCATGTATTGTGAAAAGATTACCACAATAAGTTTAGTTAACATTCATCATTTCCTATAGATACAAAAGAAAAAAATGTTATTTTCCTTGTGATGAGAACTTTTAGGATCTTCTGTCTTAGGAACTTTCAAATATATCACACAGCAGCGTTCACTATTAATCATCATGCTGCACATTATATCCACAGACTTATTTATCTTACATCTGGAATTTTGTACCTTTTGATTACCTTCATCTAATTCAATTATGAATTGGCCCTTTAACATTATAAAACATTACTATTCATTTTTTATAATTCCTTTCTCTGAAGTAAATCTTATCTAGCAATTCATTTTTTTAAAGATTTTATTTATTCATGAGAGACACAGAGAGAGAGAGGCAGAGATGTAGGCAGAAAGAGAAGCAGGCTCCATGCAAGGAGCCCAATGTGGGACTCGATCCCAGGAACCCCAGGATCATGCCCTGGGCCAAAGGCAAGCGCTCAAGCGCTGAGCCACCCAAGTGTCCCTTATCTAGCAATTCTTAAAGCCATTCTAACTTTGTTTTGATTTGTGCTTACATGATGTATCACTTTTGTCCTTTTGCTTTTAAAATATCTTTGTATTTATATTTAAAGTAGATTTTCATAGACAATATAAAGTGAGTTTTACTCTGTTCCACTTTACAGTTGGAGCACTTAGGTCATATGAGTTTGATGTAATCATTAGCATACTTGCATTTAATTTTATAATCTTGCTCTTTGCTTTCCATTATGTCATGTGTTTCTTTTGTTTATATATTTAATTTTTTTATTCATAAGAGACACAGAGAGAGAGGGAGAGACATAGGCAGAGGGAGAGGCAGACTCCCTGCAGGGAACTCAACATGAGATTCAATCCCAGGACCCCGGATCTTGACCTGAGCCAAAGACAGATGCTCAACCACTGAGCCACCCAGGCATCTCTACAATGTGTTTATTTTTCTCATAGTAGACAAAAAAATTTTTTTTGCTTATTTAAATTCATATATGTATATAAAGAATATTTTTCTGAATGACAGTTTTTGACAGTGAGTAAAAGTTACAATGAAAAACAATAAGCCCTTTCACTATTTTTTATATTCCCCAAATGAATGAGACCATATAATATTTATCCTTCTTCGATTGACTTGCTTCACTCAGCATAATACCCTCCAGTTCCATCCACGTTGAAGCAAAAGGTGGGTATTCGTCCTTTCTGATGGCTGAGTAATATTCCATTGTATACATAAACCACATCTTCTTTATCCATTCATCTGTCGATGGGCACCGAGGCTCCTTCCACTGGGTGTTATACTATATATGTTGGCAAATCGAACTCCAATAAAAAAATACATATATAAAAAAATGAACACAATAAGCCCTAATTTTCTGTAACAGCTTTTATTTTTCCGTAAACAATAGTCCATTTTTTCGACAAATACCATCATTTAGATATGTCTTCTAAAACACATGAAATTTTTTTCTAAAGTGCTAAAATGTATATCATCTCCATTATTTCAGAGGAGAATTACAATGAGCAGAAAAATACATCAACTTAGATTCTCAAGGTTATCTCAAATTCTGGAGTCCCTGGTTCCTGTGATAGGGTAAGAGTAACAAATGATTTGGGCTAAAATCAAGCAAAATGCTATAAATCTTCATCTTCTGATTCTTAATTTTTTAAAAATAAAAATTTCTCAATTTTTCAATATATTGAAACAATTTTTAATCAAGTCTAGATACGTGGCAACAAGACCTGAGAATGTTTTCTAAAAATTTGTTTTAAAAATTCCTAGATAGGGCAGCCCCGGTGGCTCAGCGGCTTAGCGCTGCCTTCAGCCCAGGGCATGATCCTGGAGACCTGGGATCGAGTCCCACGTTGGGCTCCCTGCATGGAACCTGCTTCTCCCTCTGCCTGTGTCTCTGCCTCTCTCTCTGTGTGTGTCTCTCATGAATAAATAAATAAAATTTATTAATAAAAAATAAATAAAAATAAATAGAAAATAAAAATTCCTAAACATTTTTCCCATTTCATATTTTACTATTTATATATTTTTTTGTTTTGTCTGTCTTTTCCTTCCACAAATTCCCAAGGACAATCCCTAAAAAAAACTGTTAGCCCTATTATTTGGTTGGAGGAAACTTAATCTCCACCATCCTCCGGTCTGTGGATGTCTAGAGTGTAAATCTGATGAGGTTGATGGCTTCCTGTGGCCAGAGCAGTGTAGTAGCAAGTGGTCTGATCCTTACTAGAACCCTATTAGGTACAGTGCCTCCAGGATCATGACATTGAAGTCACTGAGTCACTCTTTGGTGTTTTTACTGAGCCACAGTGCCCTCAACTTCAGACCAGTCAGAACATCATCTCTTTTGTCCTGATGAACATGGATAGTATCATATATTACTGTTTTCAAAATTCTAGAAAATAAAGAACCAGGTAACCACCTGGATTACAGGAGCCCTTGTTAGCACACCATCCAAATAATAATCCCCACGGCTAAAAGTCAACCCCAAGGGTAATTAAAGCCAGTATGTAATTCCTTTTATTAGTGAGTAGGTGATTACACGAAGTAGGGATGCTGGTCCCATAGCTATACTTTTTATTGTAGTCACTGCCCTGCATGACATGAATTGTACAGCTTTGCTCCAATGCCAAAGAGCTCATCCTGGCTCATAGGCCAATTCTGTGCTCCAGGTACCTGGCAGACACAGCAACCAGATTCCAATGGGTTTGTCTAACTACATGAAGAGAAGGTAAGGTTATAGAGGGTAGGATGCCAAATCCATGAACCAGAGCCACAGGCTGAGCAGCTGCTGGGCCTGAGAACCACCAGACCCCTGTGGCAATGGGTACCACTGGGAGCAGGGAGCAGCCCCAGGAGTCCTAAAGCCCACGGCTCCATGTGAGTCTGCACTGGGGAGCCTAGGAAGCATGGTCCCCTTGTCATGTGGCCTTTGTTCTTTTGTTCTCATTTCCTGCCTTCTTTGGGTTGTTGAGTACTTTTTATGATCCCACTGTATTACCATTATTCTCTTTTTAGATATATAATAAGAACCAAAGAAGCAGAACCAATAGGAGTCATATATGTATATATATGATTTTTTTTTTGTCATAAGGCCTTCAACTGATTCAGAACATATTCATCATTATGAGATTCCATCATGTTGTCATTTTATAGCCATACACACTTCACACTTCTCTCCTGCCCCTACCCTCTTCTTTTTTTTTTTTTTAGGATTTTATTTATTTATTCATGAAAGACACAGAGGCAGAGACATAAGCAGAGGGAGAAGCAAGCTCCCTCTGGGGAGCCCGATGTTGGACTTGACCCCAGGATCTCGGGATCATTGCCTGAGCTAAAGGCAGACACTCAATCACTGAGCCACCCAGGCCCCCCAAACCTCTACCCTCTTCTTAACCACTATCAACCATAGCTCTGTTCTCCAATCCTATAACTTGTTAGTAAATTGAATCATACTGTATGCACCTTTTGAGATAGTTTTTTTCCCCCACTCACCATCCAAGTTTCCTAATGTCAGATAATTCTAACATTTCTGTCATTTTGATCTGGGCATCCAATGATTTTTTTCTGAATTCAGCCTGGGATCTTCTTGGTTCTTGATATGAGGGGTGATTTTTAGTGGAAATTTGGACTTTTTCATGTTATGTTCTGAGACTTGGGATTTTATTTAAAATTCTGGTTTAGTGGACTTTTTCTGACACTGCTTCAACAGAAAAGAGGAAGGAGGTGTTGCCTCAGTACTTCCAGAAGGAAGTAGATGTTCAGGTTCCCCACTTGTATTTTGTTGGCAATCAGGAGAGTGAGAGCTTTTTACTTTGCTGAACAATCACCTCTGAGCTCCCCATGTGGAGTCCATTGATGTTGCGGTGAGAATGGCTCTGTTAGCACTGGGTAAGAGTCCTCACTCTCCTCTAGGCCCGCCATGGCACTAGTGAGGAGCAGTGCTTTGTTGGGTGTGCACTGCTGGGTGGGTGTGGGATCTAGGCTGTATGCTCTTCATTAATTTTATGATCAGGGGACTCATTACCAACTGGTGAAGATGAAAATCCCATCTCCTACTTGACCTTGTCTGACATCACCTCAAGGGTAATGATTGCCTTATAAGAGTGGAAGTCTAGCTTTCCCACTCAGCTTTTGCTGGTGTGGATGGAGTATGGCCAGAGTTTTTTCCTTGGTTTTTATTGGAGTAAATTGGTCATTTACTAAAAGTTGTCTGTCTTACTAGATTCCCTATTCCTGGTCTCTTGGCTAAAGAGAAGACCTTTTTATGTTTGTTTTTGTTTGTTTTTGTCTGCACTTTCTGACATTTCTAAGCTATTTTCTTCAGCTCCAAGTCTGGAATACAAAACAAAAAACAAAAAACAAAAACAAAAAAAAACATCCCAGAGAATTCATCACCATGTTGTCCCTTGGGTCCTGAGGTCCCTGCTGGTCTATCTTCTTGCTACCTTTCAGAGTCTTCTTAAAATTTTACATGTGTACATAAATATACACATGTACACACAACACACACATATACACACACACCTGCCTGTCTATCTATCAATCATCATCTTAGTTTCCTCGGGCTGTCATAACTAAGTACCACACACTGGGTGGCTTAAACAACAGAGATTTATTTTCTCACAGTTGTGGAGCTTAGAAATTTATAATCAAGGTTTCAGCAGATTTGGTTTCTTCTGAGGTCTTTCTCCTTGAGGTGTTGATAGCTGGCTTATCATTGTGTCTCTGTACATACATAAGACTGATGTTTGTGTGTCCAAATTTTCCCTTATAATGGTACCAGTCAGATTAGATTAAGGGCTGCCCAAACCTATATATTTAGTTGTACTTAAAGAAATAGGGAAAGTACATGTACTCCATCATCCCAGAAGTAGAAGTCCTTATTATTGGCTTTAATATCATCACTTTAAATATTTCATTACATTCTGGCTTCCATTAAATCTAGTGAAATGTCAGCCATGATTTTTAGAGCCATATATCTCTCTTTATAATATATATTGCTTTTTCTTTTGGTTTTCAGTAGTTTGACTGTACATGTGTAGATATGGCCTAGTTTGTGTTATCTATTTTGCACTTACTTGACCTCTTTGTAGTTTATTTTCTTTACCAAATTTTGAAAATTTTCAGCTCTAATATCCTGAAATACTTTTTTCTTTCTCATTTCTCTCAAGTCCTTTTGGAACTCCCATTACACATAATAGATCACTTGATTTTGTGTCACAGATTATTGAGGCTCTTCTGTTTTCTTGTCATTTTTACCTCTAACTTTTCACATTAGATCATTTCTATTGAACATTTTCTGCATACATTGATCCTTTTTTTGGCCACCTCCAGTCACCTGTTGATCCCTTTGAGTGAATCTTTTATTTCAGGTACTGTGCTTCTAAATTCTAAATTCCTATTAAGTTATTTTTATATTTCCCATATCTCTGCTGAGATCCTACATATATTCACTCATTTTGACAATAGTGTCCTTTTGATCCTTGAATATGCTTTTATTAGATGCCATAAAGTTCTTTTCTGAAAACCCCACTTCTGGGTTATCTTGGAATCTCTTATTAACTGCTCTTTCTCTTGAAAATGGGCCATATTTTTTTCATGTAACTAGTAATTTTTGTTGTATATCAGATATTGTAGATGATACTTAGTAGAAATTCCGAATTCTATTATCTTCTTCTGAAGAGTGTTGATTTTTCTTTTTTAGACTGTTAGGTGTTAAACTACAGAAGCTTGGTTTTATGCTTGATTAGGAAAGATGTTTTGCTTTTATCTCTGTTCAAGATAAATATTTCTTTAGTCCTGCTACATGATTGATAGTTTTAAGACATGACCTTGAGGTATTTCACTGAGAAGAACCCAAACTCAAAATTGTATCTTCCTTCTGTAGGAGGAAATTGAGATAGTTACCAGCTTTAATCAGTCTTCCACTTGATGTTTTTCACTATTATCATAGTCTTCTCCATGCATGCACAGTTTAGGGAAAGGCCATAATAAAGTTATGTTTATGTATAACTATAAATCTAGTTATACATAGATTTGTGCATACCTCTTTGGTGTCCTCTTTTTCCCTCAGGATTTTTATACTCAGTAGCAGCAACTGTGGAAGCCAAAAACTCTATCCTTTGAGACTTCAAGCCACTGAAACAGCAGCTTTCTGTTTGGGTTCTAGTCCCCTCATGCTAGGTGGACTGAAATATGCTCTAGTAAAAAGGGGAAATCACTTTAAGATATAATTCCTTTTAATTTTATATGTCTCTTCATTTGATCTCCCATGCCTTCAAATAGTTACTTTAAAAAATATTTTGTTTAGAGTTTTTGTTTTCTGGGAGAGGGTTAAGTTATACCAATAAAAGTTATACCACCAAACCAAAACCAAAACCTTTTTATATTTGTAAGCAAAGGAAAGTGACCAATTAAAGAGTGATAAGAAGATGGAATGAAATGTAAATGATAGTAATTTACTAGTTTCTTAGGATGATACATGAAAATGCCTTCCAGTGGGATTTTGAGTTTTAACAATCTGATTTTGTTCTTTTTTGAATAAGGGTTAGGAATATCAAGTAGGTCAATATGAAATAAACAGATAAAGACAGAAAAAAATCAAAGAAATATAAAATTTAGCTTTAGGATCCCATTCTAAAATCTGATTTTTAGACTGAATGTCACACTGTTTGCTAATTCTGGAACATTTTCAGTTATCATACACAAGACTTCAAAGAGGAAATAGTAATGAACTTTTAAACTTTTTATTAGATTCTTTATTAGACTTTATTAGATTCTTGAAAAGTAAGATTTTTCTCCTATGACTAACAGAATTATTTTTTCAATAATAAAAATCCAGACAGTGATCTTTGTGTGCTGCTTCATTTGTTAAATATGTAAAAAGAATGTTTTTAAGGGGTATTTGCAAGGTGTTAAAAAATGACATCATTTTTTTTCTTTTCCAAAATCCTCCTTAAAAAAAAAAAAAAAAAAAACTTTCAGAGAGCTTTAAGTGTCAGAGATTGGGTAAACCAGTTAGTTCAGCTTGACTGGGGAGGCTCTGTCATAAAGCCAAATTTGTACCTTTGCAGTTTCAGGACAATTTTCTTTTACTTCTATACTTAATTTCAGGAGTCAAAATAAATTCCTCTTATAGCTATCCCTACAAAATTTGTTCTAGCAAAAAAAGTAAACTGAAATACAATTATCTTCAAAGAATGAAGTAATAGTCATCTCAGCCTCAATATTGGATTTCCCAATTATGCCCACAGTGTGGCTTAACTTTTTTATTATTTAAACTTGTCCCTTTGTTCTTAAGCCCTCCTTTTCTTATTGTGCTTAAGAATCAGTGGAAAGGCTGCCTCTTGGAAGGTTAAGAAGTAATTTTCTGGGAAAATACTTTCACACAATTAAGCACTTCTTTTAAAGATAAACATTAAGCATTATGTGCACAATTATGGTCTTTTAAGCTAAGCTGCTATACCCTGTTGAGTAAATCATACATTAGTTTTTCAACCTAACATTGTTTACCAAATAGAGCGAAAATATTATGGAATTCAAGTTTGAAATACATGTTATCGTAAAGAAAACAGTGTTATTAAATTGGTTATACATGAAATTTTCTTTGCATTTTTTTACTTTTCTGTTGCATGCATATTTTTATTTCTAACATTTTTTCTTTCTTTTGATTTTTATTTGAAATATACTTTAAGTGACTGTAACTCAAACAGTACTGGTTAAGAACTCTTCACATAGTCAATTTGAGCAGCTATTTGGATATCATCATATAGGTCCATTATGGCAATTCCTTCTAAAGATGGGAATTAGCGTTTATTAATATTTATTTACATACAACGTGTAAATATATGTATGTATTTCTCTTATCTCTTAACCATATTATGCCTTACACTTTCTGTTTCTCCCTGGCTCCTGCCCCCTCAATCTATCATCTCAATTACACAAATATTTATTTTGCTAGTGATCTCATTTTGTCACACTGTGAACAGGTGTTCATCACTTGTGTTCTCCTGCAAGATACTTCTCAAATCCAGTATACTGTCAAATACTTTTCCCTGTTTGTCAATGAGGTAGAGTTTTATTGGACATCCTGGTATTATTTTGCATTGACAGGTTCAAGAAACAGAGTGAAGGCATGCATTGATGAAGACATATTGTGTACTTATCCGACTATAGGCTTTTGGGAGAATTGTTAAATCAGGTCCCCAACTTTTTAAATATTTATTGTGCTTGTTACTGCTTCTGCTAAACAAGTTTCAATAATTTGTGTCTTGTTGAACTCTTATTGAAGTATACTAGATACAGAGGATTATAGTTATGGTTTGGCTCTTCTGCTACATTGTTAGTGACTGTTCTGTTCTATAATTTGGAATGGTTTAACACTTATTTTATCTAAGACACCTAAAGCAATTGTGCTATTTATATAATAACAATTCTATTAATAAAATTAAGCAACAGCAAAGTTTGATTATGTTTTGAATATATCACCTATTTCTGTCACCCGTCTGTCCCATAATATTTGCTCAATTTTGAGTTGCATTTATGTAATATGATTGAATTTTTATGAATATATTATTATACTATTAGTAATATTGAATATATTTTTGAGAGTTTTCATACAAATGCCATAACATTATGGAATTTTATTATCTGTAGTGTCTTCAGAGTTTGGTAGGTGAAGTTTGCTCAAGTCATAGTTATTGAACACCCACAGGTGCATACCATTTATTATAATCGACTTGCCATAATCCTGCCTGCCAGAGGTAGAGACACATTCATCATTTTGTTCAAAGTTCAAATCTTTTAAACTTACTGAAACATTGGGACACCTGGGTGGCTCAATGGTTGAGCGCCTGCCTTTGGCCCAGGGCGTGATCTTGGAATCCCGGGATCGAGTCCCACGTCGGGCTCCCTGCATGGAGCCTGCCTCTCTCTCTGCCAATGTCTCTGCCTCCCTCTCTCTGTGTGTCTCATGAATAAATAAATAGCATCTTTTAAAAATAAATAAATAATAAATAAACTTACTGAAACATATAAGAGACTATATGTTAGAAATAATGTCAACAGTGATTCAATTAAAAAAAATTACACTAGAGGTGTCAGGTGGCTCAGTCTGTTGGGTGGCAGACTCTTGATTTCAGCTCAGGTCATGATCTCTGGGTAATGGGGCCAGCAGCCTTGGTCTCCCGTGCTCAGTGCTCAGCGTGGAGTCTGCTTGTCCCTTTCCCTCCCGCAACCTCTCCAGATAAATAAATAAAATATTTTAAATAACAATAAAATTACACTACTAGGTGTGTTTGACCTAGTATACACTCTAGATTACAATTAGATTTTTTTCTCTTGATTAAAGGCCAGACCTACTCCCTTTTCATTGTTTCTCTACTGTTCTCTGTTGCATAGGATGTCAAGGACTGTTTTGTCTCAAGGGGACAGCATAATCCATTAATGGCCAAGGGACTAGGAGTGGCAAACCTTTTGCTGTACATTTTTTTAGCATAGTGTAGACCAACGGACCATTGATATACACAATTTATTTCCTTTTCTAATAGTATGAGCCTATGGGCCCATGAGTGTGGTTATGCTTCAAAATAAATTATTCCCAGATGATGCAACCACTTTACTAAGAGACACTACAAGAACCATCTGTGGGAAGATAAGAGGATATTAAATAGTCTTAAATGAAGTAAAATGTTTTAGTGTGTAAGGTCAAAGATGTATTGTAGGAAAGGGTCTTCCACAGTGGGAAATTATTTTAAAAAAATAAGTAAAAATGTTCATTTGACAAATATGAAAAATGATTATTCCTTAGTATATCTAAACAATTATTAAGGAAAAATGATACAACATATATAAATTCAAAGTTTAAAAATAGGAAAGAGAGGGATTAGAGTTTCTGTTGAACACCAAGTTGGAAATTATCATCATCCTTACCAGATGATCAATCATTCAGCTTGTTTGGACTCTGACAATGATGAGAAACTCCTCTCGGGAGCAAGCCTATATCCTTGTTAGACAAATTATCATTTTAAAAATATTTCTCCAACATTTATTTGTAAGAAATGTCCACATATCAGTGGATTTATGAGAATTAAAGGCAAAGGACAAGCTAAAAATATCATGCCTTATCATAATATAATTATGAATATGAATAATATTCATAATATATTATTATGAATATATAAATGAATAATATATATTATTCTTTTGAACTGATTATTTGTTTTTTTACCTGTTTGCTTGCTTGTTTTTAAGCAATCTGAACTCTCTGTCCTGAGGTACCAGACCTTAACATTTCCTGGTTCTTCAGTAACTTGCTGATCTCATGGGCAGATCTGATTGTCTCACTGCATAGCTACACTGGCCTCCTTGCTATTCTCTGAATACTGCTGACACATTTTCTCTTTATTATGCACCATTGTCTAGTGTATTTAATATTTACTTAATTTGTCTTGATCATCTGGTTCTTTTAGTAGAATGCATTCTCTATGAGGGAAGATACTTTTGCCTCTTCTATTAACCACTCTACACAAAGGACCTAGAATATTGCCTAATATATAACAGATACAAATATTTGTGGACTGAATGAATTGATCAAATATATCTGCATTTTAAAACTATGATATTTAATTTTGGCATGTATTTCTCTTATTTTGTAGTTCCTGGCGGTTCCTTTTCCTAAATAGTTTTATTTGCTTATTCCAGAATTGTTTCAAAGTTATCCATATGCTTTTTAGTTATATGAATGTTTTTCTCAAAGTTTTTCTGTGAAATTCATAAGCCAACGTTATGCTGTGAAATATGGAGATTAAAATCAAAGCTTTGCTTCGATACCTACAAAATGTGTGACTTAGGCAACTTATTTAACTTCTCTGTGACAGTTTCCTTATCTACAAAGCGAGAACCCTCATATTTCTCTGAGAATTAAATTAATGTGTATATTTACAGTCCTTAGCACATCTTAAGTACTAAACAGTTGAAAATAATTGTTTTAGTCCATTTGAGCTGCTTATACCAAAGATTACAGACTAGGTGCCTTAAACAATACACATTTATTTCTTACAGTTCTGGTAACCGGAAATCCAAGATCCAGAGACTGGTAGACTTGGTGTCTGGTGAGGGTTGTCTTAGTGATTTATACACTGCCTTCTTCTTCTTGTGTCCTTTCTCATAGTGGAAAGCAGAGGGGGGTAAGCTCTCCTGTCTCTTCTTCTAAGGACACTAATTTCATTCATGAGGGCTCCAGCCTCATGAACTAATTACCTTCCAAAGGCTCTACCTCCTAATTCCAGAATGGTAGGGGATAGAGGTTCAATATTTGAATTTTAGAGGACACAGTCAGTCCATTGCAGCATTATGATTATTACTCTCATTGTCATTATATCATAAATATTAATTATAAATGGTAGCAGTTTTCCTTACAGAAGAAAAAAGAAGCATCATCTTTTCACTACTGTTTTCCCATTGTTTCTTTGATTCAAAAATATAACACTGTTGTCCTTCTTCTCTCTTGATTTAATAAATATTTGGTTTTACAAATAGTTAATTTTGCATAGAGCTCTCCCATAGGCTAAAAATAATAAATTAATATAGACATGATCCTAAGGGTATGGAGTTTAGTAAGAAAAGATACAGTAAAGAAGTCAACATATAAAAATAAATAAATATATCAATAAAACTTAAGAAAAATATTCTAATTATAATAAACCTGTGCTGTGATAGAAAACGCTAGGAAGGACCCTTGGTTTCTGGTTGTCAGACAAAGGCCTTGAAGGTGATATGATTGGAATTGAGAACCAAACAATGAAAAGGCTGGGGATATTGTCAGTAGGGAATCAGGTAGACCAGAAGTTTCAGGCAGAAGCAACTGCATGTGCTCATAAAATTATTTATGTTTAATCTTTAAAAATCCCACCAAAAGACAGACTATTCTCTTTTAACATTTAATAATAATAATAATAATAATAATAATGTTATTTCAGAGAGTTTCCACTTTCAATTTTTAGACTTTTCTTTAGATACAAGTGTTTTTTATTTTGTCATTTCTGTTGATACTTTTTAAAATCTATTTTGGAAAAAAATAAATAAAATCCATTTTGGTAAGAGGGATTCAGTGGAATCTGACCTATGTTCTTCAATACTTTATTTTTTAAATTTTTCATTCTTTCACTTTAAGTTTTGGGGGAATTTCTTGAGTTTGATGTCTTTAGTTATTTGACTTTCAACAGCATTCACTGTCTTCATTATTTTTTAAATGTGGTATTTATACTTTATATTCTCTTTAAGTTCCTCATAAAGTCAGATAGTCCTGTTTTTATACTTTTGTACTCCTTGTTTATAATTCAAATAGGCAAAAATATTTTGAATCATATTGAGGATGCAAATAGTTTGTGTCTAATGTGTTTTCTTTTTCTGCTTATTTAAATAACTTTTAATAAGAGTAAACTTCTGTATCTTTCAAAAAGTCACCCTCTTTTGAACCAAAGAATCTTTTAACGAGCTTGGTAGGTTTTTATTTTGTTTTGTTTTCTGTCAGTAAGAACTTTCTGATTGCTCAGAATTGGCTGGTCATCTGATAGAATTGGACAAAGGTCAGTGAGGGTCCCTGCGGATGTGTAAAGATATTTGTTTCAATTTCTGTGTACAATTATACAAGGAAAAGTGAGATCAAGTGGTAATTTGAGTATAGATAATTTCCTAAAAATACTTTAATAATGATATTGAGTGGGAAAAGAAAAAAACTGCCATACTGAATCTGTTTAGTTTCATAGATTCTATAGTTTTTGTGTTTAACGGATAATAAATCTGATTATTTTGAATTAGTCAGTGAATTCTAGCTCCAAAATTGTCCTACTTTTACTATTTTATTAAATTTTTCTTTTCTTTCTCTGAACAGATCTTAGGGAAAAATAGCTAACTAAGGAAATTCTGAAATATTCAGAATAGACAAAATTATGGAGACAGAAAGTAACTCAGTGGTCCATGGGATGAGGAAGAGGGGGAATGGGGATTAACTACTAATAGGTATGGAGTTTCCTTTCGAGGTGATGAAAATGTTTTGGGATTTGATAGTGGTGATGGCTTCACAGCATTTCAGGTGTAGAAAACATCACAAAATTGTACGCTTTAAAATGGTTACTTTAAAAAAAATAAAAAATAAAAATAAAATGGTTACTTTTTATGTCGTGTATGCTATCAAAAATTTTTTTTAAAAAGGATCTGCCTACAAAAAAAAAGGCAATTCCTTTAAGTAACAATATGATTATGCTATACAGTAGGAAATTTCTTTTTCTGATGGAGAAGAACAAAAGCAAGACAAACTTAAGAGGCAAACCCTGGCCCACGGTGAGGCAATTATGGCCAGCACATTGTCCTCAACTGGGTAAGGCATCTTATAGTATCAAGCTACCCACCTCCACAATACATGGTACAAAATTATGGAACAGAAACACAGTTTCTATAAGAAAGGTATCATCTGCTTGAAAAAGATCAGACTAGAAAAAATGGTGGTCTTTTTTCCACAGCATATATTTTCTGCTAAATAGAAATAAAGACTCCCTGCCTACCAACGGAAGAGACTTCTGTGCTGGCCAATCTAGAAGATAGCCCTGCTCTCAAGGAAGAGGATTTTTCTCCATTGTCCTGTATAACTACAACGAGAGGGACCTTTTCTATGTCCATACAGCTTTAGTGATCTACCTCCTATTGGTGTGAAGTTGGTGGCCTTAGGATTGAACATTCATAGGTCATTAAGTTCCTTTGTATCAGTGGAGTCCCCTCAAAAACTTAAGTCTTCTGTAGTACTAATTGTTGGATTAAAAGCTGCAGCCAAGATCTTGACTTCACTGAACTCCATGTTTTTCCCACACCTAACTTCCAACTTAATGGACACTGACTTGAGTCCAGGAAATAATAACCACTAATCAGATTTTCTTCCTAACCAAGTTTGTTTATTGTGTCTGGTGGAGAATACTTAATGAAAGATCCCTAGAGTAGGCGAGGTTTTCACTCTAAACAATTATACTTTCTGCAAAATTGTTTACTTTCTGATTATCTGAAGATACTAGCTTCAGCTTAAGGATAGAGAAATTGGTCTTATAAATCCTGAAAAGTACAATATAAAAGGATTCAGTCTACTTGGAAAGCCTGTTATAGACCTTTCTAGCATCTTTATTCTGAAGGCTATATTTTTTTCCTTTCTTCTTTAAGCTTGACATTCTTTTAAAAAAAATTATTGATTTATTCATGAGAGACATAAAGAGATGCAGAGATGAAGGCAGAGGGAGGAGCAGGCTCCATGCAGGGAGCCCGATGAGGGACTCGATCCCAGGACAGCAGGATCATGTCTTGAGCCAAAGGCAGACGCTCAACCACTGAGCCACCCAGGCGTCCCAAGCTTGACATTCCTTAGGCTAATTTTCTCTCTGTTATACATATAGTCCTTGGTCAAAAGCCACAGGATGAAACCAAAACACAAATGTTTTAAATCTTTCATAATATTAATTTTTCTAATTCTATATCTTTCTAGTAGGACACTTTTTATGCTAGAAATAAACCAAAAGTGATGGTGGGGTTTGGAATCAGACGGTAACTATTGAATGAAACAGCAAAGTCTGTTAGATTCAGGGCTTAATCAGCAGCTTGGCAGCCCCACATCCCCTGACCTCACTTATTCCTAGCCGCGGCTTCCAAACCAGTGCCATTTCAAGGCACATTGACACGGCAGCCAAGTTCATTGGGGCTGGGGCTGCCACTGTAGGGGTGGCTGGCTCTGGGGCTGGAATTGGGACTGTGTTTGGGAGCCTCATCATTGGTTATGCCAGGAATCCCTCTCTGAAGCAACAGCTCTTCTCCTATGCCATTCTGGGCTTTGCCCTCTCGGAAGCCATGGGGCTCTTTTGCCTGATGGTGGCCTTTCTCATCCTCTTCCCCATGTGAAGGAGTCGTCTCCACCTCCCATAGGTCTTTCTCCCATGTCTTGTCTGCCCTGTATGCCCTGTATGTTCCTTTTCCTATACCTCCCCAGGCAGCCTGGGGAAAGTGGTTGGCTCAGGGTTTGACAGAGGAAAGACAAATAAATACTGTATTAATAAGATCTTTAAAAAAAAAACAGATTCAGGGCTTAATAAATGTGTATTGAATTATTTTCCTTAGGTTCATAGTTTTCTGGACGGCTCTTAATATTAAAAATATTTTCTTATTTTAGAAATCTTTCTTTACCTGTTCTTTTTTGTCCCTCTGATTCTAAATATATCTGCATTATTATGATCAGGCTGCCACGTAAAATACAACAAAATGGCTTTTAAAAAACCAGAAATTTACCTTTTCACAGTTTTGGCTGCTAGATGTCCAAGATCAGAACACCAGTAGGGTTCATTTCTGGTGAGATCTGTCCTCTGACTTTCAAATGTGTTCTCACTATGTCGTCATGCATAAGTGGGAAGGGGACGCTCTCTGATGTCTCTTCCTTTATCTTTTCTTTTTTTTTTTTCTTCCTTTATCTTTTCTAAGGATATAAATCTTGTTTGATTAGAGCCACTCTTATAACCTCATTTAATCTAAATCACCTCCTTAAAGACCATATCTCCAAAAACAGTCACATTGGGGATTATGGTCTCAACATATAAATTTTGGAGGAATACAATTACATCCATTAAAAATACCATTTTTAAACAAAATCCTAGTAATAACTACATTTCTCTTAGAATGTCTGTTCTCACTACTAAAGGTGTATTACCACTTACATGTCAGAGACATTGCTCACTCCTGTTAATCAGACAGGAAATCTTTCATGTCTAAGCAGGGAAATTTATTTGCTTAAGAAAAACTAATATAGAATGTATTTAGCATGAGGGCTAGAAAAGTATAATCTTGTGAGTATTGTGCTTGTAAATGTATGCTGAGTTTTTAGTAGTATATGCCAAATTGATATACTGAATAAAAGAGGTCTTATAAGATTTAAGGAGACAAAAAGAGAGAGTAGGAAGAAACAGTGAGAACTCTGCATTCTTGTAACCATGGAAATGAAGCATCCTGGGGAAGCAATATTGCCAAGTCTGACCCTAGAGGGGTAAAGATTTCAATTAAAAATGAACTAGGTTGTCCTCATTCCTGGTTTCTAGAGTTACTAGACCCCTTTGCAAGATAAGGGATTTGTTATGAGTGCCTAATGTATTCTGAACACTGAGGATACAGCAGTGAATTAGGCGATTAAGTAGAATAGATGCAGGTGATGTCTCATCACCGCATCTCGTGTCACCTCAGCCTTTGGCTGTAGAGGACAATTCCTTTGCAATTGGACAGCTTTTCCACTCAGGTATTTTTGCTTTCCAATCTAAATGTTGGGTTTTCTCCAGAACTCGGGAAATTGTTCTTTCCACACAATGCTCAGCTCAGCAGAACTGGGAATGAAGCATTATCAGGACAAATCGCCTCAATGGGAAAATTTTGAGGTACAATCAATTCTGCTAACATACTTGTTCTGAAAATGTGAATATGTTACAACACAATTGATATATTAAGGAATGATTTGAGCAAAACCTAAGTTTTGTGTTTTCTTATGTGTGATTTCTTCCATGAGAAACAAATTAGGGAGTGGAAAACTCTGGCCCATTGCCTATTTTTGTAAATAAGGTTTTACTGGAGCACTACAGACAAGTTTGTTTTTTCTTAAACCTCCTTTCTTTGACTGTGGTGGGGTCCCTGTGGTCCTGAAAACTAGAAATATCCACTATCCGATTATTTAAGGAAAAGTGTGATAATTCCTGATCTTGGTGGATGGAGAAAACAGCATAAGGCTGACCAAAACTACATAAAAATACAAAAAATAAAAATAAAAAGGCACATATGCACACACCTGAAACATCTCCCTGTGACCTCAGGGTACAATATATATTGTGAGCCACACCCAGCCACAACTTGTGTTGTAAGTTTCCATCAGATTTCACATAATCCTTCCACCACTTTGTAATAGCTCACAAACTGCAACTCTTCCCACATGCCCTTCCATCAGCAAACATCAGGCTCTCTTCAAAACAAAGTGCCATAGTATTATAGGTTTGATGTATTTCTTAACCATTTAATATGTGTGACACTGCTACCATGTTTAAGCATCCTAACTTTTTAATGTGTAACTGATGGTTTTGAGTATTGTGCTTCTGACTTCATTTTTTATTCCCACAAGCCCTGTGGTTTTATCGTGTGTTTTTGTATCATACGGTGCTTTTTTTTAAGGAAACGTGTGCTACACCCTGTCAAAACTGACTGCACTTTCTACACTTTGTTCCTCAGAAGGTCCCCAGAAGAATGAGCCCTAATTGGCCAATCAGTGACTTGCTGATTAATAGATAGAATCCTGCCCTCATGGCAGGAACTGGGGTAAAAATTATAATTCTGTAATAATGGGAAGACTAGTGGAAATCACTAAATGGAAAAGGACCAGAGTAATTCATTATGATGTTATATCAATACTTGAGGATGTGTTGGGCACTACAATGCATGCCATTCTCTTACTGGTATGGAAACAGCTAGTATAAGTGTATTTTGTTTTAATAAAGCCCTGTTATACTCATATATTGAAGAAACCATAGCCTGGAAGACTGACTTCCATATTTAGCATTTGGGAGTCAGGATGGATAGGTATAAACTGCAGCAAATCACCACCTCAATTGTTCTCCCTGTCCTTTGCAAAAGTAAGGTTTTCAGAAAAAGATTAGAATCAATGAGTAGGATAAGAGGTCAACAAATATGGTTAAAAAAATGTGGTACAAATAAAGCATTAAAAGTAAGAATCTGGGGCACCTGGGTGGCTCAGTCAGTTAAGCGTCTGACTCTTGATTTTGCCTGGGGTCATGATCCCAGAGTCATGAGATTGAGCCCCACATTGGGCTCTACCCTGTATGTGGAGTCTGCTTGAGATTCTCTCTCTCCCTCTCTCTCCACCGCTTCCTAACCCTGCTCCTGTGCTCTGTCTATTAAGAAAATTAAAAAATAGATGCCAGTTTTAAGTTGAAAGAGGTCATTTAGAAAAGATTGACAGGAGAGAAGACAAGAAGTGCTGCAGTAGGACTTGAGGTCTTCTTACTCATATTGTACTGTCTTTAGAGTGAACTCATTCTTGTGGATCATCACCTCTACTAAGATACAGAGTATTGAGCTTACTGTCAGTAATTAAACATTTGTGCTGATTTTGAAAAATTTTATGAACACAGTAGGAAAGCCAAACTGATTTAATTGTTTTACTAATTGCTAATTAATTATCCTCAGTATAATGGCAGGTGTTTGTGTAATTAGGAAGAGGGCCAGAATATCATTTGTAAGAAATCCTGCCCTAAAATTTGAGAGATGTAAGAACTTTATCAGTTGACCAAGTTCCATACTATAAAGCAGATCATTTAAAATATTTTTTTAGTTTTAAAATAATATTGATTCAATGCCTTTAGATTCGCCTACTTTCTTTGAGAGAGTAAGAGTACACTGTTTTTGTCTCTCTCTTTTTTTTAACATATTTTAGGAATGAGCCTGCTAATGGACTAATGGAGATTACTTAACATGAAAGAGTATAGAACTAAAGGGAAAAAGGGAAACCTATCACTAGCAGTTAATTCTCCTACCCTACCCCCCCCATTTTCCTCCTCTACTTCTTCCTTTCAACTTTTCATTCATTTATAAATAAAAATATTTTATTTATATATTCATAAGAGACACAGAGAGACAGAGGCAGAGATATAGACAGAGGGAGAAGCAAGGCTCTTCACAGGGAGCCCGATACAGGACTTGATCCACAGACTGGGATCATGCCCTGAGCGGATGGCAGATGCTCAACTGCTGAGCCACCCAAGTGTCCCTATAAATTTCATTTTTAACTTAATAAATTTAAAGTTTTCTTAAATTTATCTCCATTCTTTAAAAAGAGCCTATTCTTTTATTTTTTAAATTTTTTGAGGATGGTTGACACACAATGTCACCTTAATTTCAGGTGTACATCATGATTCAACATCTCTGTGTGTTACTCTGTGCTTGCCCTAAGTGTAGCTGCCATCTGTCACTATACAATGCTATTACATCATTAGCTATATTCCCTATGCTGTGTCTATTACTCCCATGGCTTGTTCTTTTTGCAACTGGGAGTATGTATCTCCCACTCCCCTTCACCCATTTTGCCCATCCTTCCACCCCCTTCCCTATAGCAACCATCAGTTTGTTTTCTGTGTTTATTATTCTGCTTATTATTTTTTCATTTATTCATTTGTTTTGTTGTTTAGATTCCACATATGAATGGAATTAAATGATATTTATGTTTCTCAGTTTTATTTTTCTTAGCATTATACCTTCTTAGGTCCATCCATGTTGTTTCAAATGGCAATATCTTATTCTTTCTATGGCTAAGTAATATTCCACTGTGTAAAGCCACGTCTTCTTTATCCATTCCTCTATGGATAGGTTCTTAGGTTGCTTCTGTATCTTGGCTCTTGTAAATAATGCTACAATAAACATAAAGGTGAATATATCTTTTCAAATTATTGTTTTTATTTTCTTTGGGTAAATGCCTAGTAGTGGGATTGTTGGATCATATAATATTTCTATTTTTATGTTTTTTTAGAACCCTCCATATAGTTTTCCACAGTGACTATGCCAATTTACATTCCTTCCACAGTGCACAAGGGCTCCTTTTTCTCCACATCCTTACCAGCACTTGTTATTTTTTGTCTTTTTGATTCTAACCATTCTGACAAGTATAAGATATCTCGTGGTATTCATTTGCACTTCCCTGATGATTAATGATGTTGAGCAGCTTTTCATGTATCCGTTAGCCCTCTGTTTGTCTTCTTTGGAAAAAGAAGTGAGAAGTGTCCATATTAATAATGATAAGTTAAACTGCCACTGTTTGCAAATGACAGGATACTATACATAAAAAACCCTAAAGACTCCACCAAAAAACTACAAGATAAAATAAATGAATTCAGTAAAGTTGTAGGATACAAAATTAAAACCTAGAAATCAGTAGTGTTTCTATACACTAATAACAAAGTGGCAGAAAGAGAAATTGAGAGAAAAATTCCATTTACAATTGAATAATTTTTTTTATTTTTTTTTTACTTTA